GAGAAACCGTAAAAAAAATTTAACTTTATTACTGTAAGATCAAGGAGGAAGCAAAGGAGCGTGCTTTGCATCCACTAGAGACCCCTTTGGGTGGAGGGAAGAATTCATTTTCTCCTGTGTATTGCAGTAAAATTTATCTAGCATCTTATCTAAGCAAGCCCGTCACTATTTTACCTTTCTAAAAAAAATTCTTTTTTTTTTTCTTTCTCCCAAGTTAACATCACAATTACCCAGGAATTGTGTGTGATAAGAGCCCTTTAACCTTGAGAAATGAACCTTTGTCTTTTGATTTTAACTTCTCCAAGTGTCTAAATGTCTTCTTTCAGAGTATGGCAAAATCAGTGTTGAACCTGAGTTTGTTGCTTTTAATAAACTCTTAGCCAAATTTGAAAAATTTTAAACTGTGACTTAAAACAGCATTGAAACTTATGAGAAGTTTGACTTATCTTGAGAATTTAAAACAGACACATATCTGTCTGATTAATTAAATAGGTCAAGTATTTCCTGGAACCTAACATTTATACTATTATCACCTTAGTAATAATAGCAAAGAGTGGGAAGCCTGTCAAGTGTCAAGCCATGGTCAGAGAAAGTCCGACATTGTCACGAACATCTTAGCCGGGGCAGCCCCAGGAAGCCCCAAAAGCCACTGCTTGGCGCCCATGGTGCTCACTCGATTAATTCAGAGTGTGTCTACTTTTAAATAGCATTTACCAGCACGTGAGTCTTCCCCTCTCCACAAATAACTTCAGCACAATTTTTTTAAAAAATCAAAAGGTCAGAGTGTTTATATTCTTTTTTAAATGGCAGTGCTAATCAAGGAGGAGTGCAAATATTTCTGTTTCTTCCAGTAAACAGTTGTTTTCTAAAACTCTTGTCCTGGCTGGTGTGGCTCAGTGGACTGAGCGCTGGCCTGCGAACCGAAAGGTCGCCAGTTTGATTCTCTGTCAGGGCACACACCGGGGTTGCAGGCCAAGTCCCCAGTTGGGGACGTGCAAGAGGTGACTGATTGATGTTTATCTTATATATCGATGTTTCGCTCCCTCTCTTTCGCCCTTCCCCTCTCTCTGAAAATAAATACCGTATTTACAAGAATAAAACTCGTAAGCCAGGAGCAGAGGAACATGAAGTATTCTTTCAGTAGGGCCTTGTGCCAGCTCACAGGTGAATCTTTTCTCAAGCAGACCAGCCAGTATTATCTGATCAGGGCCCTAGGTGTATACTTAATATCATTCTGCTGAGGGCTGAGAATCTCACCTTGGACAAGACCAACAAAGCCTTCTCTTCATAGAGCCCATGCTGGAAATAGCTGATAAATCAGTAATGAAACAAATGATACGAATATCAAACAGTGATGATAACTAGGAAAAAATGAAGAGCTTAAAAGGGTGGTGAGTGGCTTGGTGTGGAAGGCCCAGTACTAAGGACAGTGGCCATGGATTGAGTCCTGAGCCATCAGAAGGCTCTAGGTCTGGGAAACAGTCATGAGGAATAGTTGGTGTATTAAAGGAAGGGGGGTGAGTTCAGCGGGCAGCTGAGTGAGCAAGGAGCAGAGTGGCAGAGACAGGGTGCAGAGGAGCAAGGCATGGGCTGTGGGCCATGGTAAGGAGGTAGGAAGCAGGCACGTGTGAAAATCACCTGATGTTCACTTGGCTGCTGCATGGAGCCTGGGGTTCTAGAGTTAACAGAGGAAGTCGCAGCCTGTGAGGAGGCTGCGGTAGTCTCGGACAGCAATGGCTACGACTTGCTCTCAAGGGCTGACTGTGAGGCTGGAGAGAAGCAGAAGGATTTTGATCTGATCATGAAATTACAGGCATTTCACCACGCCTCAGCCTTATGGTAGCCATTAGCTACGTGTGGCTATTTACGTTTAAATTTAAATTAATTTGAAGAGAAAATTCTATTCCTTCTTCACCCCAGCCACATTTCAAGGGCTCAGTAGCCACTCTCAAGTGCACACAGCTACTCCGTTGGGCAGCACAGAACATTCTATCAGCACAGAAAGTTCTACTGAATAGTGATGCCTCTGGACTACGTGCCTATGACCTGCTCTTCCCAAATTCTTCATTCCTCTCTCTTGGAAGGGCAACCAAACTGTCATAAACTTCATTGAATGCCCCTCTTTTAAGAGCTGTGCAGGGAGGAAAATTTGATCCTGAAGAAGTTGATAGCTTCGGAGAATAAACCAAAGCCCGAGAAGATATAACCCTGGATTTGGGGAATGTGGGAGGAAAGATGGGAGGCATGATACTACATATTGGAGAGTCATGTGTGCGAGTCAGGAGGCAGAGTCCATATGGCAGCTGGAGGCTCACAGTGGGCCCCAGGGGATAATGTTGGGGAAGGAAAGAATAACTAGAACAGATTATGCAGTGTCCAGAATTAAGGAAGTGATTAGGAGAAAGGTATTATAAACTTCGATCAACAATTAGTAGTGACAGTTTGGGGTTCTATCTGTCAGTCACAGTGCAGTCTGGGAAGAGGGGCCAGTAGGACTCTCTATTAGGGGTTAGAATTTGGAAGGAGGACAGAGCATCAAAGGAGGAACTCTAGTCGGCCTGCCTGCGCTGGTCAAGTCGGCACCTCAGGGGACTCTCAGGAACAAGTCCAGCCACCCAAGTGGCACTTGCAGGAGCTCACAGGGAGGGCTTTGGGATGCTACTGCACCGTTGGTCAGCAGAACAGCCTTCATGAAGACGAGCTGGACATGGCGCAGAGGGGACCAAGGACGCAGCAAGCCCACCGGGCCCCGGGTCCTGTCAGTGCTGGGTTTAGCCGTGACGACGCCCGCGCACAAGGGCTGCTGCTTCCCTTCTGCTTCCCAATCTCACGGTCCTCTTGTGGCCAGCTCTGACCCAGAACCCTTAGGTGGAGGGGATTTAGGGAGATGGTCCCCAGCCTTCCAGGGGGGGCATGCTGATTCAGCTCATGTGAGGGACCATCTCTGGGATATTTAAGAAATGGAGTTTTAGGTGTGAGAAGGAACCAAACCTCAACGGTGTTCGCCTCACTCTTGGGTCAGGAGTCGGCTTGACCCTTGTTGGGAACACAGTGTGCGGGGCATGTCGCACAGGCCATTCCTCGTGTGCCGCTCCCAGAACCCTCTCGCTAATCTACCTCTGAACCCACCTCACCCATTGACCACAAAAGTGAAGTGTTGCTGTTCGTTAATACTGTGAAAACAAGGCACTGGCAGATGTTAAACTGATAAAAACCTGGTAAAGCTGTCATTACACATACCTTTCAGGATGGATCAAGATAACATATCCCGTGGTTTAAAAAAAAAAAAAAAAAAAGAGTAAGGTGGTTCTGGGTACTGTGAAACTGTCATCCTTTTTCTAAATGACTTAATCCAAACGACAGGTGGTTTTTTAATCACTGGTCTGCTTTTGTGGGTACATGACTGCCCAGACGGTTTCGTTATATTGTGTGAGGAGAGCCGCAACTCGCTGAGCACGACCCGGGGCTGGCACTGTGCGGGCGTGCCCTGCGTCCTCCTGTCCTCCGTGTCCCCAGTTACCCATGCGAGTTGGGACCGGCCCCGCGTCAGACAACAAGGAAGTGGCGGGACTAAGATTTGAACCCCGCTAGGAAATGCAGAGGGAACAGCAATAAAGGGGGCACCTGGAGGCTGGAAAAAATACCCAAAGCTGAGCGACTAAGTAGGTGTAAGGTGAGGGGCTGCGGCTGAGATACGGACGACGGACGCCAGAGGTCAGGGCTGGCTCCGCAGGGGGCGGTCGGGCCTCCTCCAGGGTGCCCCTCCCGACACGCAGGTGCTCCTCAGCTTACGCTGGGCTTACGCCCCAATAAACCCATTGTAAGTTGAAAATATTATAAGTCAAAAATGCATTTTAAACACCTAACCTACCGCACAGCGTGGCTTAGCCCAGCCCGCTTTAAATGTGCTCTGAACACTCACATTAGCCTGCAGTTGGGCAAAATCATCGAACCCAAAGCCTATTTTATAATAATATCTAATATAATTTTATTATATGTATTGCTTGAGCACAGTTCGTAAAGTCAAAAAATCCTAAGTTGAACCATCCTAAGTTGGGGACCGTCTGTATTTGGGCCACTGTGGGGAGGAATTTCTTTTCCTCTTCCTCCCTCCCTCCCTCCTTTCTCTCTTTATTCCTTCCTTCCTTCCTCTCCCACATATTCTTCCTTTCTCTCTCTCCTATGTGAGATCTTCCCTCCTTTACTCTCTTTGTGACAGAATGTTCCATCTCCTCAGCCAACGGTTGCGTCCTGCCCTCTGAGCAGATGCTAGCGCGCCGAGAGGCTGTGAGGACACACCCATCCACCCTCTTCTTCAGGAGGTTCTCCTCTGTTCTCAGTTTTGTAGCGGAAGCAGCGTCTCCTCCTCACAGAAATTGTCTTTGCAGCTTGTAGGGTCCCCTCTGCTTTTTGAAGCAGGCATGCCACCCTCGCTCTGATGTTGGTATGAAAACCAGTAAACACAGCAGTAATATAGACACCCAACTGGGCGGGCCCCCTGTCCTCGCTCTCCCCCACCCTCCACATCCTTCTCAAGAGGTTGCTTGGGGACAGCTCCTGGGACCTGACTGCAGGTCCTGTACCCGTCTTGTGCGCGAAGACAGCATGGTCAAGACCCACCTCTAAGAGCAGAGAGCAAAGAAGGAAAGCTCACCTCCTTGAGGAGGCCGTCTGCCATTCTCTGTGTCCAGGAGAGTCAGGGAGAGGCTGGTATGTAGAGACAGGCAGCCCTCCAGGAGCCAGGATGACATTCAGAAACTTCCAGAACTGCCACAGTGTTGTCCACTGCTGAAGCCAGGCAGAGGGACCAAATGTGGATTTTCCTGAAGCAGGAGTGGGTATTGGGGGCAACTTGTTATTCTCCCGCCCGGCCCGTGCCCAGCCCGGCCAGTCGTTCCTGCCTCTGCGGTGGCCGGCGGACCGCGTGCATCGAGGTTCCTGTTCCTCAGGATCAGTGCTGCCGGGGTTGATGGTTTCTTTTTTTCTCTCACTCTCTCCAGGGTCAGGTGTGGATAAACGGCTTTAACCTCGGTCGTTACTGGCCAGCACGGGGCCCCCAGATGACCTTGTTTGTGCCACGGCACATCCTGGTGACGTCAGCCCCGAACACCATCGCAGTGCTCGAGCTGGAACGCGCACCCTGCAGCGACAGTCCCCCCGAACCGTGCACTGTGGAGTTCGTGGACAAGCCGGTTATCAGTGCAGCTGTGGCCTACAGCCCTCTCTTTCAAGACCTGCCTGATCAAGACTTATGACAACACCATGGACAATGACAAAAGCCTGTGATTCTTTGCAGCACTGGCCTTTCACATACCTCCCATGTCCCCTTGCAGTGGCAACATTCACTGGAGACTTCGACCAGAGAAGAGATTCGGCCTGTACATTTTCCCCCGAGGATTCCCGCCACTTTGCAGCGGCTGACCCGCCCCTGCCAAGGGCTGCGTGGCCGTGCGCCGGGGGTGGGAGCACCGGGAGCACAGCGGTACTCGGGCGTGTCTGCAGCGCGGGAACAGAAGCTTTCGAGGTGTTTCTGATTTTTATTCTGGAAGAATCATGTCTTTTTTAAAAATAAATTTTGCATTCATAATGTTACTGTTTTTGACGTTGAGCAGGTATTAAGTTATAGGTTCTGATTTAAATCATAACTAGACTTGAGTGGGCTGAGAAGCCACTTCAGTCACTTGAGGTTCAAAGGCATGGAAAATCGTCTTGGTTTGATCTAGTGGACTGCTGCATTTCTGATCCTTGTTTAAAGTTCAGGCCCATCTTATGTGTTTTGATGTAACAACTGTACCTCTCCACACACTCACACAGGCCTGTACACTTGTCAGCAGACACACATACACATGAGTGTACACGCCATGAGTGTACACGAGTATGCAGGGAGAAGGTGTTGTATAATATGCATGCTTTGCCCTGGGCAGTAGCTCTCGGTTGTTGAGCACTGTTCCATACCATGTCCAATTCTGGGCATATTATTTACTTAATACACTCATCCCTCACAAGAACTCTGAGGGATGCGCTCTCACCTTACCCAATTTACCAGGACACACCGCTGTAAGCGGTAGAGACAGGGCTTGAACCCAGGTGGTCCGGCTCTAGTGTCCAGGCACACATTGCATACATAATGTATCAATAGTGGCTTATGTCCTCATAGGAAAGGATTGGAACAACATAAATGAGAATATGACCCTGCCTGGGCGCTATTTGAAAGTTGCTCACTTTTTATTTTTTGCTTACTATGTTTTAAATCCTTTACAGAGAAGATGCGCTTTTTTTAAGGGAAGGAGAAAGGAAAGACTTTGAGGCTCATCTACAAGATATTTTCATGGTAGTATATTTTTCCCCAGCTCACAGACATCAGTAATGAAGGTCTGGGAGTCAACAGTGGGGTTCGGAGGCTGGTTGTGCCGGCTGCAGGAGTTGAGACAAACTGAGGCTGGAACCTGACGCAGGGCTGTTTTCCATAGGATCTGTTTCTCGATGTTCTGCACCCCACGGTGTTTGGGCCTCCCACAGGGTGCAGAGGTGCTGCATGGAACCCGGCCTCGTTTCATTGCTCTTCCTTCCACTGCTAGCTTACAAAAATATGTAGAGTGACGCTCAGGAACTGTGCGCAGTGATAAACTTTGGGAAGAAACGTGAGGTGATTCCTTTTCAAGCATTATGTACGGAGGTAAACTGCACCCCCCCGTCGAAGAGGCCAGCGTGGAGTCTCCAGAAGGTGCAGGCAGTGAAGCGGGATCACCTGGTTGAGTGTGCGCTTCTGTTCTGTCGTCTGATCCTCAGAACCACACTGTAAGGTAGGCAGCAGTAAGTGCATTATACAGATGAAAACATTTCAGCGAGAGGTGGAGTTGGGTTTTAATCTGGTCTGCCCCCATCCAAAGCTGGAGTGTTTGGTGTCATCGGTGTGAGGCACTCTTTTGGCTCCTCCCCTTCCTATGGCATCATGCCTGCCCTTTTCCAGAATACCATGTTCTGGAAAATAGGACCTTCATTCATAAATAGCACCACGCTGGTCTCTGCTCCCAACCCACTAACTGTCTGTGCGCCCTCTGAGGGGCCATACCTTTACCTTCTACAGTGTCATTCTCAAAATGCGATGTGCCTTTAGTCCCTCTTGATTTCTGAACTCTGTGTATGGATGCTACCTTTGAAAATGGTAAGGGCAGTACCTTTACTGACTGCTATGCAAATCTTTTAACTTCGTCTCTAAGCTAATTTTAATATTCCAGGACTTTCTGAGCAGGCTTGTGCTAACTCAACGACAACATCAAGGAACATGGAATATTACCATATTCTCAGTCATCCTTGTGATGAATATTGTGGCTTTTTCCTTTGTACCGTTGCTAAATGCATACCAGACTGCAGAACATCTTGTTTTAAAACAGCTTTATAAAAGTATAATTTTGCATACCATAAAATTCACCCATATTAATGTACAGTTCAATGAGTTATACTAAATGTATACAGTGGTAAGGCCGTCTCCACGGTCCAGTTTTAAAACACGTCCCTCACCCTGGAAAGCTCTCTCAGGCAGGATGTGCTTGTTCCCACCCCCACACCAGGCAAACACCAATCTGTTTTTGGTCTTTTTATAGGAATTTCTTTTAACTGGATCATGATAGGTAGTCTGGGTCTGACTTCATTCACGTAACAGTGTGTTTGAGGATAATCCATGTTGTAGCATGTTCAAGAATGTGTTCCTTCCCTGGCTGGTGTAGCTCAGTGGATTGAGTGCCAGCCTGTGAACCAAAGGGTTACTGGTTCGATTCCCAGTCAGGGCACATGCCTGGGTTGCGGGCCAGGTCTCCAGTGGGGGACACGCGAGAGGCAACCACACATTTGATGTTTCCCTCCCTCTCTTTCTCCCTCCCTTCTCCTCTCTCTAAAAATAAATAAATAAAATCTTTTCAAAAATCTTAAATGTGTTCCTTTTAAAATTTTTTTAAAAATGTTTATTGATTTGACAGAGAGATTGAGAGATTGGCTGCCTCCCACATATGACCCAACTGGGGATCAAACCCACAACCCACCCATGTGCCCTGACCCGGAATTCAGCCCCTAACCTTTTGGTGCACAGGATGATGCTCCAACCCACTGAGCCACACCGGCCAGGGCCAAGAATGTGTTCACTTTATTGCTAAGTAATATTCCATTGTGTGGACCTACCACATTTTGTCTACTCATTTGTCAGTTGATGAAGATTTGAAGTGTTTCCAGATTTGAACTGCTATGAAAAATGCTGATCTGAACATCCATGTACACTTCTTTGAGTGATCCTATGTTTTCATTTGCCTTGGGTAGATACCTCGCAGTGGAATTGTTTAGTCATATGATACATGTATGTTTAACTTTTGAAGAAACTGCCAAACAATTTCAGAACATCTCTTGAGGCTCACGAGGAATCAAATAGCATCTGAGCGGTCCTCAGCAGAGCCCAGTCCACTCCAGAGCCCGAGCCCCTTCTCCTGCCTTCTCTGGCCCCTGCTTTGCTCCGGCTGTTCATCGTCTCTCTCTGTCTCTTTGCATCTGTCAATCTTTGTGTCTCAGCAAATCCAGTTTGTTCAGAAGGAAATTGTTTGCCACTAATCTGAGTTTGGGTTTTTTTCATTGTTTCCCCAACAAGCAATACGTCTTCTGTCAGATGACACAAACAGGAAATGATCTTCTATGGTCTTTGTTTCTTGCCCTATAAGAAAAAAAAAGTCCTTTTCTGTAATCACTTTTTCAGTCAGGGTGAGGGATTCTGTCTGGTCTGTGGTAGCGCAGCCAGCCCGTGGGGACCAACAGCCCACATGGGCTATGAGGAAAGTCCGCTCAGTGTCCAGGTCATTGGAGTGGGTGGTTCTGAGTTTAAGCCCAGCCTGTGCTCTTGGTCTGACTGAGCATTACTTTCCAGGTTAGCCCTTGCCTTTCAGCTTTGTGGGCCTGGGGTTTGTTAGCTGGACACCCAGCAGCCCTCTGGTTGTCTGTAAAAGCCCAGTGAAGATTCTGCACTGATTACCCACTAGACAGTTGCTCTACTTACGGCCCAAGGGGATTTCCCACGCGTGAGGAAGCCTCCCACCAGCGTCAGTCCTCGGCACTCCCAAGCCGGCAGCATTGACTCACCAGGTGAAACGGGACAGACTTGGGGACAGAAGGAGGTCATGCTCCTGCTCCATTACTTACCGGTGGTGTGATCTCAAGTAACTGGTTCACTTTTAAGCCTCAATTTCCTCATCTCCTAAGTGTGGTTTCTACCTTGTGGGGTTTTTAAATCAAATACAGTAATGTGAGAGCACCTGGCATGGCCCTAGCCACAGAGCAGGTGCTGACTGAACAAACGTTAGTGTGACACTTTCCCATCACATTCCTCTGGAGAAGCAGGTAAGGGATGGTGTGGAAACCTGGGGGACAAGGGGAGAAGAAATACCCCCCAGAACACACCATCCTTTTCCCACATCCCTTTCTGTTCAGCTCAACAACGTGGTTCCTCTCCTGACCAGCCACTGTGCTGGCTAAGGATGCAAAGGTCAAGGAGACAGCCCGCCGTAATACATGGACACGGACTGGAAGAGGGGGAGGGGGCTCCGCCAAGAGGGGAGGCGCATCGTCCGTCAAGGCCATGACCTGAACCTGCTGTTGCCGGGGACAGCCTGAGCCCACAGGAAAGACTGGAGATCAGGTTTGGACGTCAGGGGCCTCAGTGTGGACTTCTTCAGTGCGCCACTGCCTTAAAGCCCCTGTACCCTTGCCCTCAAAACTTAAGCGACTTTCCAGTGCCCACATACTGACTTCCTAGCCCAGCGGGCATTTCTCATCACCGTGTGTGTTGTTTTGGTGGTTGTCTGTGGCTGCCTATAAAACCACTTTAACAAATTTGTGTAAGGGACATAAAACAGTTATTTTGTGATGGGGGTGATTCTATGGCTCTGGATTGGAGTTCCGCAGGCACAGCAGCGGGGCTTGTCTTTGTTCTGTGGTACCTGCGGCCTCTGCTGGAATCATCTGGGGGCTCCTCCACTCCTGTGTCTGCAGCACCTGGCGTTTGGGCCGGGCTGACCTGAAGTCTGAGCTCAGCCTGGGTCTGTCAACTGAAGCATCTCCACGTGGCTTTTTCCTGTGATGATGCTAAAAAATAATAAATACATAACATTTATAAAATACTTTTAATGTTTAATTTTGCAGAGAGCATCTCATTGCATCTTTTTTTTTAAGTTTTATTGATTGATTTTAGAGAGAAAGAGGAAGAGAGTTAAGAGAGAAAAATAATTAATTTGTTGTTCCACTCAGTTGTGCATTCCTTGGTTGATTCTTGTATGTGCCCTGACCAGGGAGCGAGCCTGCAACCGTGGCCCTATCAGAATGGCACTCTAACCCACTGAGCCTGGCCAGGGCTGCACTGAGTCTTCATAAGAGCCTTTTGAAGAAATAGGGCAGGTGATATGCAGCCCAATTTGCAGTGGAGGAAAGATTGCGATTTACCCAAAATCGGGAGGGCCAAAACTGAGACTCTTGTGTCCAAATCTTCCCATGGGCACGTTACCTTGGTT